ATATAAGCAGATTTGGCTTTTATGCAATGCCTTTGCATTTGATGTAACAAATCTTCATAATACGACCTAATTTATTTCTTCACATCACACTTCATCTGTAATACCCTATAATTAATTAGGGGCATACTTTTCATTAGATTTCTTTTTTAGAAAAATAAAAAATAAAAAAATCTTTGATTTTTTTATGGAATTTACTGCACACCCAATCGTCTTGGCCCATCTTGTACTTGAAATAAAATAAACGGGCAACATACCTTCAAGTTTAAGGAGAAATGCTGAAGGCGACAATTGAAAGAAAAAGTTTTAAGCTGCGGTTTCACGTTCCAGGAAAGGAGCAGTGATTGAAAAAAAAATTCTAGGCCGTGATTTATCAGTAAAAAGAGAAGCATAAGAGGATGGTAAGTGTTTAAGTTTAGTTTATAGATTTATTTTGTATATTTCATGGCTATAGAATTGAGGTTGAGAATTGGAGAATCATGGGTTAAAGAAACAGAGAAATTGTTAAATTTCGAGAAATTAGTGGAGTGCATTTAATGATTAGAATGTAAATTATTGTATTTTGACGTACAACAAAAAAAGGTTGGGAAGTAAGATTATTTTTTTTATTTGAAGCATAAGTTTGACTAATGTTGGGAAGAACTTTGAATGAATAGATTGTCTGGTGGGTTAGTAATGTAATAGGCTAACTGAATTACTCAAAGTATGAGTAGATATAGTTGACAAAGTGACAATCATGGTAGCCCGTGGGTGGGTATTTCAATTTGTCATGATTTAGCCTAAAACTTTGACAAGAGAACGATATAATGTGCTTAGAGGTCTATTAGGAGTCATACAAATTTCTAGAGATGATGAGTATGGTATTTCGATACAAACAGTGTGAGTAGTAATTTTACCACAATTGATAATTTATAATTTGCATGATTTTCACATGATTTTTAAGTAAATGTGTTTTTGAATATTTTGAACTTGCACGTGGGACAAGTCTTATACTGGATCTAATACTGTAATTGATATGATTATTTTTTTTTACAAGATATGATTACTGTTATTGAAAAGGTTTTACACTTATTTGAGAAATAGTATTTTGGAAGGTGATTGTTAAACTTTGAAATGATATAATTTGATAAGATTTAAATTCTAGTTTCCATTTTGAAATGCTTCATACTGATTATAAGAAAAATATAAATGGGAGTAGACCTTGATGAATCCGTAGCTAATGGCAGGATCGTTAGACCTGGTGCACCTTTTAATTACTGATTTATGGTAAAGCCCTTGCTAGTGGGATGTGAAACTAAACTAGTACACCGTTACCGATATCCCTCAATTAGGGATCTACTGATATGAATATTTAACACCTTCATGAGGAGCTCACTGTTATTGGTTACTTCTTAAAAATAAGTTCACTCTGATTACATGATTCATCCTTAGAAACCTCCTAGATATAATATCTGATATGGAAGGGTTTCTCTGAGTTTACTATTAAATATTTATATTGATTTTGCTTATATTAGGCACAAAAGGTTGAATATTGTTATTATTTCTTAAAGAGCATTATTTCATCATTAGGATTATTGTACTAGCATGTTTTCTGACTTGTCCCTCATTAAAATGGTTGTGGTTAAGTATTATTGTTCACTGAGCTTGCGTCTGACTCCTCGCTATATTTTTTTATAAAGAATACATGTGACTTTGGTAAGGTATAGAGCTTTCAAGTTGATAATTTGGGGTGAGCCCCACACTTGTTCTCGTGGATAACAAACTTATTAGTAGTTATAGTCAGTTGTTGGAATTCTTATAGTCGCTCCATAGTCATTTCTTTTATTAGAAGTTATGAGCATTCTTTAATATTGCAAATTGGTGTTTAGTATGAAACTTATGTTTTGGAGTTGGAATTAGTATGTTTACTCTTCGAATAGTTTATTGATGAATAAGGTTGGAACAAAATGAGATTGGTTGGATGCGCTATTGATTTCTGTTATAGGTAATTTCAGGATAGGCCCCAAAAACATAGAATACTTTTTTTGATTTTCTGTAGATTTTTGGTTAAGGCTTGCTTTGGAACTCTTCTCCTGAGCACCGGTCACGATTCTAAATTGGGTCGTGACATCCCCAGAGAATCTGCTTGTGTTACCCATTTTGTCAAAGCAATGCATGACTTACTAATCTTGTGTTACGTGCTCCTCACACCACAACAAAGCCCCAATTTATATAGTGAAATTCTTGATCATATCACAAATCTGGTGTAATTAGATGTAAATGATTGTGGAGTTATTGTTGATTTTACTTGCTCATTACATACTTGTTATAGTTTCCCCTTTCAATTGAAGTTTTAACCTTTTCAAACATTCTCTTTTTGTTGATATATCTCTTAAAGTTATTTTTTATATAATTTAACAAGAAATATCTGGTGGAATTAATGAGGTCGCCGAGTTGATATATCTCTAAAAGTTACTCTTTAAAATTATCAACTTGTTTAGACAAGATATGTCTGCTGAAATTAGGAGAAATAAACAAAGGAAATTGTCTGTCTATTACAAAAAAATTTAAAGATTCCTAACTGTTTTTAGTTTGATCATCATGTGTGAACATGACAATTCACTTTTAGTATTATATTTACCTTTTATCATTTTGTTACCTTGACAAAGTAAGCTGAGGGTCTACTGGAAACAACCTCTCTATCTCTATGAGACAGGGGTAAGGTGTGCATACACTCTACCATCGGAAAACCCAGTTGTGGGATTACACTGGGTATATATGTTGTTGTTGTTGTCAAACCTGCAAGTTAGTTTTTACTTGTGCATTAATTTTCAAGAATTACTAGAGGCTTGATGCAAATGATAGTTGTGTTCTTTTGATACACACATTAGAAGGGAGCCAACATGGATATAACTAACAGGCAAAACTTTGTAAAGTTTCAAGCAAATAAGCTTGATCTATGGGATAAAACATTATCTTTTCCCTTTGGATCTTATTACATAATTGAAGGCTTTTCATAAAGTTCTTATGTAGTAGTATTCGTTAAGTCTAGTAATGGCAAGTAAAACGAGGTTACTTACAATTTGACATGTAAAATAGGGTTTATCTTGTGGTTGAGAAATTAATGAGTACTATATTCAAGAGTTGAGATAATTATTTACTCCCAGCCTTATTTTATTTGGTTTTATTTCTATTTAACTTCTCTCTCTTTCGATATGGAATAGTCATCTTGTTTGCAAGATATTTTGTGTTGGTGAGGTTGGATAAGGGTTTGGTTGACTTGCTTGGATGTTACTAGATAGCGTCTTGGTGGTAGATGTTGGTCTGCTGGCATTCATATGTATGCCAATTGACTCTTGAAAACCTGAGAGTCCTACTACTATTTTCTGATTGGTAAAGGATAAATGTATTGATACTTGATGTTGGAGAAATGTACAATTAGCAACCTTACAAGGAAGTCCTACTATTATTTCATTTTTCACTTTATATTTATGTTGCCCATGCCCTTCGGACCGTTTGAGAATGCACTTCTGAGTAGGTTTTTCTTTCTAAACAGAATAATATCAATCCCTTTGCGGCTCCATTTTCCAATATTTATTTTATCTATACAAACTTAAGGGACTTAGCTTCAAAGCACCTCCATTAGTTAATGTTAATGCCTGTATTTGAACTAGTACCTGAAATTGTCAATCTTGTTTCCCATTGCCCTTTAGTTAGTCGCACGTTCTAAATATAATAAAATTGAGGGTTGTTCGATTAAGCCTCAGCTTTGGCCTCTTTCCATCAATGTAGTATATCACCTAAAAAAACTTTGGCATCCCAATTTTTAAATCTAAATGTTCAACCTTCATTTGTATTTTCAGAAACAAATCATATTTTATGATCCCCCCTAAATGAAACAAAGATTTTAAAAAAATAACAAGTAAAATTTGCGTATTAGTATTACTTGTTAATTGTATAGGTGATGAGCACTCTAGTACCTTATAATAGGAACTTGTAGAATCTTTTATTAATAAGCAACCCTAACAAACTAATGTTTGCTTTTACGTTCCATTTCCAGCTACGAACCAGTCCTAAGGAGCTACTTATTATGCATGATCCATCCCTCAGTCAAGGAGGTCAAATGACTCCTGTACCTTTGCTTGCAATCAGGACATAATGCAAAATGAAACTACTGAGTTTGTTATCTGCGAAGTGGTTATGATATTCATCGAAATCTTCCTAGTTTATTTTATTTTGTCATTAGTGGATGCAATATACGTAGTAGTTTTTATTATAGGTATAGATATATCTACTAGCATCTGTTATTTGAGATGATAATGAACATGATAATTTTTGTGAAGTAAATGGATCAATATTAATGACTGCAGAAACTTGAGGATGAAGTTAAGTAGATTGGTCTTCAAATTAAACACTATGAAGATGATATCAAATTCTTACAGGGTCAGAAGAAAGGTTGGATGATTCAATTTTGGATATTGTAGGTATTGTTTCCTTCTTTATAATTTAATTAATTGTGATGTAAAATGCATGTGCAATTTGAAAGATTACTGTAGTTATTTTGTTCTTTTAGTAACCTAGAATATAATGTTTTTATTCTGTCTTTATAGGAAGTAAACAATCAAACATTTTAAGATTTTCATATCAATGGGCGTCTTTCACATTTTAAGTAAATATGGATTTCATGATTACCTTTGTGCATAATATCAACCATCAACTTGTTTGAGTGAGCTTAATATATTGTTCATGGATTTAATGTGTGTATTTCCTATTTAAAAGCACTCCATGTATATTATAACATTCACTTAAACTTTTTTCTTTCCCTTTTGTCATATGCCTTCTCACTGTTTCTCAATTTTAATTCCTTGTTCTTGTGGGGTATTGTAGCTACTCTCACCAAGACTTATTCAACAAGTGGAAATAGTTATGAAAATAAAGAATCTTCTAATGGGTAGAATGAGTTGAAGAGCATTGAAGAAATCTTAACATTAAATAGTTGCCAGCTGCCAACATATATTTCGTATATGAAGGACGTTATAGGAATTGTTGCTTTGCTTGGCAAGGTTGACGATGATAATCTTAGCAGGTTAGTTTCATATAGCATCCAGTAATTTCTGGCATTTTTTTATAAAATAGATAAAGAAAAAAAAAGAAACGAGATTTGAATGAGTCCAATTTCTATACTAGTCCATGTTTAAGAGATTATAGCACTGGTTCACTCTATAACAATCAAGATGACAATATGTGGCTGCATGATGGTGAAGACTTAAGGAAAAAAGTTTGATACCTACTGGTATTTGAATTTTTCAGGGGTATGCTTAGAGTGATTAGGGTTTGAGGTCGCAGATTAGGGTAGAATCTTAATTGGTATTTGAACGTTTTCTCGCTTTCTTGGGTAGTACTAAATAGTCCTACATTAGTTGGGTAATGAATGTGTGGTTTGCATATATAGGCTTTGGCAATCTCCCCCTCAGTAGATATATTTTGGGGGTTGACTTTGGCTCTATTGCCATTTCTTTACCAAGAAGTAGGCAAATAATGGAAGTTCACTGTACTAAACAAAAGAAATTTAGAAGTTCACTTTATTATGATTTACATTTGTATCTAAATCTCTGAAATCCACGACTCTCTCAGAAGATCTTCGGCTAGAAACCATGATAGTTGTTGTTTGCAAGACGCATGATGGACTTAAAGAACTGTTAACATATGGTAGGAAAGGTCCTATGAATAAAAGTTCTGGTCTTCATGGAGTTGGAGCTTCAATTGGGAGACCTTTGGATGACCGATATCTTGTAATCTTTCTTGAGAACTTAAGGTTCGAGGTTATGATCATCTCTTCTTGCAAATGCATCTCATATTCTTTAGCAATTCTTTACTCTCTTATGTTTTTCATTTTTGGGTTATCATTTTAGACCATATGCTGGTGAATTTATTGTTGATGACCCTCAGAGGAGGCTTGCCATAAGGAGGAAACCTAGATATGTCAATGAGGAAACTCCTCATGTGTTTCTTGGTTTTGCTGTCAATATGATTAATATTGACACTGCGAACTTATATTGTGTTACAAGAACTGGTTATGGTCTTAGAGAGACCCTCTTGTATGGACTCTTCTCACAATTACAAGTATACAAAACAAGTGCAGACATGATGGAGGCACTACCTTTTATAATTGATGGAGCCATATCATTGGACGGTGGGATCATAAAGAGTGGTGGTATATTTTCCCTAGGAAAAAGGTAAAGAGGTTTGTCTTAAGTAGTGCGTTTATGTTAATAAATTTTTTTTCCTTCATAGTTCAACTTGTTTGTGAAGATACTCTAAAGAATTGATTGCCTATTAACTTGTTCATTTTTTAGTATCAAGTAATATACTTCATCTCTAACTGTGAGCCTGAACTGAGAAGTTGGTGTTATTTTGTGACCATGTTGCTTGACTATTGTGGAGTTCAGTAGTTCAAACTTTCACGAACTTACTCTGTTAATTTGTATAGAATGGTGCATGAAAGCATGTTCTTCCATTTCTTTCACTATATCTACAACAAAGCTTCTGCAAGGTAGTCTTTGTTATATTTGTTTGTAATGTTTCATTTATGAATGATTAACAAACCATATTATAATTTTGCTGGGAGTAGTGTCTGCAGGATTTATCACGTTCTGAGACTACGTCACATTTTAGATTTACCTGAATGACGTTTGGTAATTATTTATATCTTATATCTTAATCCACTATCTTGTGGGAGTTGTTTTTAATCCTAATCCTATGTTTATATATTACATGTATTTGATTTTGTATGTTTACACATTAGATTTATTTGAATTAACAACACACTTTTTTTTTCTTGTTGATGTGATCATTGAATCATCATCCGCTCTACCTTCCGAAAGTAGGGGCATGGCTGCATACACTCCACCCTCCCAGATCCACTTATGAGATTAAACTAGATGTACTGGATGTGTTGTTGTTTGTTTGTATTGCATCACTAAATCATTTGAATTCTTTCTTTCTCGTGTTTATTTTTGTAAAGAGAAGTATATATCAAATTTCCAAAGTGTTTTGGAAGGTTGTATCTACGTGAAAGCTATTTTGAAACTAAAATCCGGAGGAAGGAGCTGAAGTGGGAAAGAGTAAGTGTGTGGAAGATTTAGAGAGCGAGAGAAAACACTTCTGACCAATGCAATGAAAATCTTTGAAATAAGGAAAGAAGAGTTTGTCAAGATTCTTTCACAAAGCTCATCCTATATTAGAGGGTTATATACTTGAGTGTGTCTAGTAAGACTGTGCATGCTTGAGAGTTTTTTATTTGATACTCTTTGTTCTTACATCCTTCTTTTATTGATTGACGATGTCATTTGATAGTTGCAAACTGTACTTGCATTTTATCATGTTAGGTGAGGATCGTGCATGGATAAGAGATCCTTTCCCCTAGGAACTGTTTAAGATTGTGTTTGCTTTAGTATGCCCGTTATCAATGTTCTCTTTGAGCAGTCTAAAGATCGATGTATATATAGGAAGTGAGATGCAAAAACAATTTCACAAGAAAGGGATGAATTGGTTTTTCTAGGATGCAGTAAGACTGTCCTTTTTCAAGTGATCCCCTGTATCCTCCAAAAGATCATGTTTACGTTAAAAAAATAAGAGACTACCCACCAAATGCCAGCTGGAACATTTGTGATCAGCGCTCTTCTCCATTCCTTTTTCCATCCCCCTGCAACTGTTAAAGAGTTCCATAGCGGTTTTTGGCAAATCGTCACTGTTCACAATCTTTTTTTTACCTGCAAATATCATTGTCGATATCTGCTGGTTCTAAGGGTGACCTCTGTTTTCTGTTTCGATGGAGTAAGTTGCTGGGCACTTTCACCCATACTTGGATTGTGAAAAAAATACCATTCTTTATTGTCACTAATTCTTCAGAATCTCATAGCCGTCTACTTTATTCTGACCACTAATGGAGTTGAGATGGAGATTTCTTCCATTTGCATTCACCATGTATAACCTACTGTGCATCTTCTTTGGAAGCAAATTCTGAAAGGAAATTGTGGTTACCCATATCATAGGTATTTAATCCATGAGTTAGTTTCTAGAAACCATAGGACCACTTCTTGATATCTTACAGCGTGGGAAGCCCCAGAAAGTTTTCGTGGATATTGCATGCCACACATCTATTCAGAACATCATTTTAAAATGAGTCAAAAGACTCATCAATATGAATGGCTCTTTCCTTTGACAAACCAGTTCCTTGTTCTTTGGAGGTGCTAATAGAAATGATTTTTGATGCATATCTTAATCAAAATACAGAATCTACTGACGATGTTCTAGCATGGTGGAGAAATCACGGCAAAGGATTTTCAAAACTTCAACCGATGGCTCAAGATGTATTATCTATTCAAGCATCTTCAGTAGCTTCGGAAGACGATATTAGTGCAACAAGGTTTCAAATTGAAGACCATAGGCATTCATTAGCGCCAGATAGCTTGGAGATATCGATATTATTTTGAGAATAGTTTAATGCTAAGAGAATAAATTTGGGCCGTGAATCACTACCGATCAAATTTCAAAGTGATATTGATGAAATAATGCAAGATTATAATGACAATGACATTGAAGCAATGGAGAATTTATCTATTCAACCAATTCCCGATCATGTTACTAGAGAAATATTAAATGGTTTAAGAAAGGATCTCTATAGTAGCAGCGACTATTAAATTTAAATGTTTAATTGTCTATTAGTATGAGTATGATAATTCGAGAACTATTTTAAACAGAACCCTTCCTAGAAGGTGGCTATGTAGATTAGATCTATTAATACTCTACTAATAGTTTTGTAGATCAAATTGTACTATCAAATTTATATTAATAAAAGCCTAGGCTATTCACCTTAATTTTTTTATTATTTTGAAATTTAAACTTCTATTATCTCAAAGATTGAGTTTTACATTTTCAAACTTTTAAAGTTGAAGTTTAAATTTTCAAACTTTTAAAGTTGAAATTTAAATTTTCAAACTTTTAAAGTTAAAATTTGAACTAGAAATATAAAATTTTAAATTTATATTCAAAGTTTCAAACTTATATTTAAATTATATATTTATAATTTGAAATTTTGAATTTTACAAACTTTCAAACTAATATTTAAATTATAAACTTTCAAACTTTGAAGTTTAATAAACTTTTAAACTTTGAAGTTTAAAAAGTACAAATAATAACTTTAAAAGTTTGAAAAGTATAATTTTTAAACTGTAAAACAAATAAAAGTTTTAACATTTAATTGATTTTAATAATTTTTTTTAATTTATCCCGCCCAGTCCCAAAATCTGGTCCGGTCCGGTCAGGTTCCGTATCGATTCACTAGCGGACCGGGATGGGTACATGTATAATTGACCGGATCTATCGGTACCGGTCCTTCCCAGTTTTGAGTGGTGGTTCCCAGATTCGTTCCGGTTCCGGTTAATACCGTTCTGGAAGTCTCGACTATAATTCCACTGCCACCCAAAGCATGCACTACCTTTTATAACTAATGGAGCCATATCATTGGATGGTGGGATCATAAATAGTCCTCGTATATTTTCCCTAGGCAAAAGGCAAAGAGGTTCGTCTCAAGTAATGCTATTATTATATTCATAAATTTTTCTTTCTTCATAGTTCAACTTGTTTGTGAAGATTGCCAATTAAGTTGTTCATTTTTGAGTATTAAGTAATATGCTTCATCTCAAACTGTGCCCATGAACTGGGTAGCTGGTGTTATTTTGTGACCATGTTGCTTTACCTTTGTGGAGTTTAGTAGTTCGAGCTTTCAAAAACTTCAGCTGTCGATCTGTATTGAATGGTGCATGAAATCATGTTCTTCCATTTCTTTCACTATATCTACAGCAAAGCCTCTGCATGTAGCTTTTGCTACATTTGTTTGTAATGCATTTTTTCCCCAAAATGATTAACAAACCATTGGCATATTTATTGAATCATTATTCTAAAGGGGAAGGGGGGGAGAGAGAAAAGAGTCAACAAATTATACAAGTTAATTAGGAAAGATAATCTATAATACAATTTTCTGGGATAGGATTTTTTAGTATTTTTCACGTTTCAAGTCAACGACACATTTTAGATTTACCTCAATGACTTTTAGTAACTACTTATATCTTAATCTTACTGTGTCGTACGAGTTGTGTTTCGTCCTATTCCTATGTTAATATATTATATATATATTTGAGCTTGTATGTTTATACATTAGTCTTATTAGAATTCACTTTATTTTTCTTATTGATGACTTTACTGTATTATTATCTTCTCCACCTTCCCAAGGTAGGGGTATGTCTGCGTGCACACCATTGTCCCAAACCCCACTTGTGGGATTGCAGTGGATATGTTGTTTGTTTGTGTTGTACCACTGAATCATTTGGATTCTTTCTTTCTCGTGTATATTTTTGTTGTTATGAATGCAAAAAGTGAGGTGGACGCCAAAGTGGCTGAATCAATCATGCCAGCTATTGTTATGAATGAAAACAGCGAGGTGGACGCCAATGTGGATGAACCAATCATTCCAGCTGGCATAGCACACAAGTTAAGAGGAGACCAAAAAGATTAACTGGTTTTGAATAAAAGGTGGGGTAAAACGTGTGAAGGAATCACTGAGCACATGGGCGTTATGTATTTAATTATGAAATAGGACATAGCAGGAGCACATAGTAGGGTTTTATTTTTATTCTAATTATCTGAGTCTCTCATCCCCAATTCTTAGAAATCTGAGCGTCTCATCCCGCTTCTTCTCTATCTTATATTCGGTCTTTTATTGTTGCTTTCAGTCATTACATTCTCTACTTTAAGTTCCAATGTAATTCAGTTCTAGTTTAAAATAATAAATATAGTACTTGAGACTTTGTTACTTTTACATTGGTTATTTCATTCTTGCATGTCTAATGGCGGACCAACACTTAAAGGGTAGCGACGACATATCCGTGCTCGGGAATTGCAGATTTGTGCTCCTTTATACAACAATTGGTAGCTTTCATGTCTACCTTAGTTCAACCTACTTGTGTCCCTGCAGTGGATCAAGATCGTTATCGTGAGCCGGCGGCATGGATGAACCGCCTAAAACCACCGCCATTCCCTCTAACTCTTGGCCACAAGCCAGCATCGGTGTACCTGGGGCATTTCTATGGCATTATTTTTTATCGCATTGTTGATGACCATAAATTTTCCCTGGCTTCATTCCATCTCGATGGAGATGCTCTTGAATGGTACCGCTGGTT